GGTCTAGACCTGCTCTATTTGAAAAAGTGTCCTGAGATAACTTCTGTTATGAATTGGCGCTATACAAATAAAATTGAATTGAATTGAATATTAGTTACTGTGATTTTTAAAAAAAAACTTCTTACTGTGTTGACACAACACTTTAAACTAACTGGGCCAGACATTTTAAAACAGGAACGGTTAAACGGAAATCTGTCATAGAATAACCCTAACTATCTTGACAGAACATATTGTGTTCTTGTTGAGAAGATTTACAGGGCCTTAAAAACTTTTCTGCTACAGGTTATTGGCTCCCAGGCTACAAACTGGAAAAGTCCTGGGCGATGGGCATTCATGTATGTATGATGTACAATGCTCTGGAAACAGCACTGGTGCTCCTTCAGAAAGGCGCAGCCGTCAACCGGATGCCCAATGGGAAGACGCCGCTGCACGTGGCCTGTGAGGTCTCCAACAGTGACTGTGTTGCCTTGCTTCTGGCCCATGGGGCAAAGGTCAGCAGCCTGTCTCTAAGCGGACACACACCGCTGCACTACTGCATCACCGGGGAGTCAGTGGAGTGTGCCAAGCAGCTCATTGTCAAAGGTCAGGAGGGAAGGATGTTTGGATAGATGGATGCATTAGTAGATGGATGAAGTGCAAATACAGATTGTGTAACAACATCAAAAAGCAACAAAATAACTTCTACTTTTTTCCTTGTGAAGGTGCAAAAGTCAATATGCCCAGCCAGAACCATGATGAGGAGACACCTTTACACACAGTAGCCAGATTCGGCGTCCCAGAGCTGTTGGCTCTCTATTTAGCCCACGGTGCGTCTGTAGATGCAGTCAACTTTCTCCAGGAGACTCCTCTGATGACTGCGGCCTTCTGGGCTTTTGATCCTAAAGAGCAAATCTACAGCCAAGACCACCATCTTGTCTGTCGCCTCCTGCTGGACCACCATGCAGGTGAGTTTTTGGACCGACAACTGTACATGACTTTCACTATTTATTGTCACAAACTGTGTGGGCTATTTTCTACAACAGCTGCCCTTCTGTTCCAGACCCGAACCTCCAAGAAGAGGACTATAAAACAGCTCTTCACAAGGCAGCCTGGAACTGTGATCACGTTCTGATGCAGATGCTGCTGGAGGCCGGGGCAGATTCACGATCCATGGACATAAATGGCTGTGCCCCCATTCAGTATCTCCTCAAAGTGACCGATGTCAGGCCCATGGCCATACCCGAGCTCTGCTATCAGCTGCTGCTCAACTTTAACGCAGCACGGATCTACCCACCCCAGTTCCACAAGGTATTTGTGGACTTTATTAATTTACTACAGTATCTCTGACAAATCATGTCGATTGACGGTTCTTGTACTGTATAATTTCATATTGTGTGTTATTTTGTGCAGGTGTTGCAGTCCTGCCACAATTACCCCAGAGCAGTAGAAATCATGGTCAATTCTTATGAATGTTTAAAGCCCACGAAGAAGTGGAGAACTGCCATTCCTGATGACTGCTACAAGGTAGTAAAATGATCTACTGTACATGGATAGTATGAAGGGTGTGCTTAGCGTAGAGTAAGCAGTAAAGAGTGGCACTACTGAAATACAGTGCGTGTGAATGGGAAAAAATGACTTTGCCAAACATGACTTTTTTTTATACTACAATGTTTCTCTCTGCTTCCTCAGCTTCATAAAGACTTCTACGACTCCTTGTTTGCGGTTTGCACCAACACGCCGCGCAGCCTGCTTCACCTGACCAGATGTGCCATCAGATCCAGTCTGCGTGGGCCCTGTCACAGAGGTGTAGCACAGCTGCCTCTCCCAACTCCCATGAAGAAATACCTATTACTGGAACCTGAGGGTATACTATACTGATGAATAGACCTTTGTTCATAAAACTCAAATACTCAATATATATCCTGTCACCTGACGACTGTAATAGAAACATTCGCCACCTGTAGACCGTGGAGAGGGAAAATGCTGCTAGTTGGAGCTGACGTTAACAAGTGTGCCCCCTTATATATGTGCCAGGCAGACCATTTCCAGGGGCTTTTGTCTAGAAAATAAGAAAATCCCTCTTGTTCAACCAATATGCAGGGGTTTGAGGGACAGGTACTGAGGATTTTGTTCTCCTGGGCCACATGGAGCCACCCTCCTGTCCCCACAACCTCTCTTTCTGTAATCCTTGTAATATCTATATATTTCACCTTCTACAGGGGCCCTATTGATCTCTTTGAAAGTGATATGTGCCAGTGAGTATTTGCAGTCATTTTCCGCCAACTTGTCTCTCAATGACAGTGCTGTCTCATACTTGAGAGAATCCAAATCTACCTGGCAACCTGCCTTAATGTTCACTCTCAAGCTCACACTCTCCTGATACTCCACTATTTGCAGAACAAACACTTGACAAAGCCCTCCACGACAAGTGCTTGTTTTTCCAGTGGACTGCACATGTAGCTGTTTTTGTTGGCCACAAATACACAGGCTATTAAACAACCAGAAGTGGAAGAAGTATTCAGATCTGATAATAATACTAATTAAATTAAAATAAAAGTAAAGTTGTACTATTATACCAATGGATTATTAGCACTCATGCATTGATGTAAAAGCAGGATTTTACTGACTGGTTGGTTTAAGTGGAGCTCATTATGAACTATTTTGTAAAGGACTGCAACTAATGAACAAAGCATTATATTTTTCTTCATATGTTTTGTATGCACAAATCCTAATCTGTAAAGCAACTAGTAACTAAAACGGTCAGATAATAAGTGAAGTAAAAAGTACATTATCAAATTTGTACTTAGTACTTCGTTATTCCACCAATAAAACAGCACAAGAAAGGAAAAAAATATATTGGAAGCCTTTCTCAAAACCCTCAAAACAGAGGTCCCTCAGCAAAACAGTGACAACAATGTAATATCAGCATTAGATGTTACATTTGAAGTGCTTTCCATCCTGACTTCTACTTTCAAAAGGTACTTTGAGCTGTAAATACACTATAGATCCTCACCTAAAGGAAGACCATTAAACCACACTGAAAAGTCTCATGCAGAGGAAATGTACAGAATATGACCTGGCCCAATCATCTCGGTTGCAACAGCATGCAGTAATGGTGTGAGTATCCCAGTCTATTTTATCCAGGCATTAAGTCTAATTTTACATGTGGAGATAATGCCAGCGTACTATAGAGGAAAGCTCTTAGGAGACTGAGGCTGCCACATGGAGAGAGAGAGAGGCGCTGCTGAGCTATTAGTGTCTTTGCTGAAGAGGAGAAAAGGGAGAAAATGAACTGGCAGCCTCAAGAAACATAAAGAGTAAGGCTGCTCAGCTTTCAATAATGAAGGCTGAATTAGGACGGGAGAAAGGAAACAGAGATTACTTCTTTGATCTTTTTCTTCACTATACTACACATCATACACAGATACACAGAGAGCCAATAGGAACATGTCACTAAAATGGTGTGACTAACACAAATGATTTCAAAAAACAACTGGGGAAATGTCTTTGTCTGTGTTTTTTTTATTTTCCCAGCTTCCCAGTTTGGCATTATTTTTCATTAAAAGATTTTTTGTGGCAGTGATTAAGTGTGCAGGCTTCACCATTTTTTCACTGAACCTTATGGCAGTCCATAGTCCATACATATAAACAGGTGTGTCTGTGACAAACTAGCTGACTTTCAATTTATATATAGCTTTTTTTGTATATGTGTGTGAGAGGGGGGTTGCCAGTATTGACAAGACAGCTCAAGGGGGGGGGGTCAAAGCTGTGTCAAAGCTGTGTCAAAGCTGGAGGCCTTAAATGAACTCTGTACAGCTCTGCAGGTGCAACAGAGTGCACTAATACCCACAAGCTCAGACAACAAACTCTGCATGGGTTTACTTAACATAAAACAACACAAGAGCAAGCTGCAGTTCCAATATTTACTCTTACTTTAAATTAGCAGAAGAATTGATTAAGAAAACAGCTTAGTAATGTTTGGATAATTCTTTTGAACCCATTTCTTTTACATTTTTAATGAAAGCTTAAACAAAAGTAAACAGATCCAGATGAAATCTCTGTTGCGGCTCTGGTCTGTATCAGACATTTCCTGTAGAGGGAACGTTGTCCGCTGTAGTGATTCTGACATCACGCCAATCGTATTTTCACTTATCCTCTCGTCTTGTATAACACTGTATTTTTATTGCTACAATACCAACAAGGCCTCAGTGAACTGGAAAATAGAACTGAAAGAGACAAAGAAGGGAAAGTAACACAACCAGAATAGAGCGTGACATGTGGGCACACTAATGAAGGGGGCAAAACAGAACAGCACGGCCTGTTCTCAGCCCCTATTGGCAGCTGGCCACAAAAAGCCACTGGACTGTGTCTGCGACGGTGACGGACAAACAGAGCAAAGATTCCTAAAACAAGCTGTGGAGAGAGAGGAAGGGGTCAGCGGGACAATGAGGGAAGCAACAACTTCCAGTGGCACATAATTAACACACTAACATTATCACATTACCAACGAGTAACTAAAGGCGAACAGAGGCACAGGTGATGACGTATTGAGTCACATGACATTTTTATTTTCTACATTCACTGGTCCTTTTATTGGTGAACCACAACTTCAGCACAGTAACACTTGGCCTTTGAGAGTAATGTTTATTACACAGTGTGAAATGTTCACAAATCATAAAAATCCTAAAATGAGTGAACTAATATAATCATATTATATCATTAATATAAGTACTAACAGCCATTCTGAACACTTCAAACTCGGCAAAGACTGAATTGAGAAGTACACTGTGTGAGAGTAAGCCTGGTATGCGATGAGGACATGGAATATGTGAAACTGTTAGATACAGATGGCAATGTCTGTAAGATCAATACAGCTCGCACTGTCTGAGCGCCTGTGTTCTTAGTGACTGCTACACTTAACTCAAGTGTGTATCATCCGAATGTGCTACACTGACCCGAGCATGACGGCTTATATTGTGTCACGTAACAGCAAGCTGGAGCAGAACATTTAATATTTCACACAGGCCTTCACTCCTAGTCACTATACAATATACAACACATGCATCATTACAAAACACTAAGGGTAAAAGTATCAAATTAATTTCAACATGCAGAGATTAACACTGAACATTTTCCTGGAAAGAGATTAAAAAGTGTATATTTCTGTTTCCTATCGCGATTAACTTCACACTAGTCTCAACAGAGGAAAATGATTGTGAAGGTTGAGGTTAACTTGGCAGTTAGTATTACAATTAAAATACAGTTATTCACAGTTCAGCCATACATAATAACTTCAAATAGCTTGCAATACTGTGTTTTTTAACAATTCAACTTCTCCCAAAAAGAAAAAAGACACGTCTCATTTTTCTCTATGAAAGCATGCCTACGCGTCTCAATACATTGTCTAAATATTCATATTATAATCGAACTTTTAAAAGAATCTCAGCTTAAATGTGAAGGCACAAGGTAGGTACTGACGAGCACAATCCTCCATTAAAAAGGATCACATTCTGTTTACGTCTCATAGTGAAGAGGCCAAAAGACTAAACATGGAACAATTGTTTGAATAATAAAATAATTTCAATTTGCATAACCAGTGCAAATTCTTCTTACAGTGTCTTTGAAATGATGTAGTTGAAAACTGCTATGAAATGCAAGGAGTTGTATGTATGAAGCAGTGCTGTGAGTTATAAAGGACTGAAAAAGCATGAACAAAGGTGGAGGAACAGACTTTGCTCCCTTTGTGTTTATGCTGCAGTGAGTGAATGTTCCCATTCCGCTTAACTTAAGTGAACCCACTGTAGCTGGCTTTGGCTGGGTTTTTTCAAAGCATTGATACACATTGAGTCTAATACAAAAACACAACGTTAATTGAATCAAACAAGGAGTGTTTGTTTTTAGATTGTGAAATGATACATTCTGAAACGTGTGTTTATGACAGAAACACAAACAGCTAGCATGCTCTGTTTCACAGTGTAACGTTATTATTAACTGAAAAGTGAGTGAGGCAAAAGAAGATTAATACTTGACTTGTTCCATTACCATTAGCAGCCTGTAATCATCATATAATGAAAATAAATGAGGTGAGAATTTTGAGTTAAATTGCTTGGCAGCTGGCAGTAATAGTTCAGCTGCATTTATCTGATTCTTGACACCGACACTGAGCGTTTTTCTTCATCTAGATTTCTGTCTTGCGTGAGAAAGTCCAGGTCCGGCAACATGCTGAAAGCATTTGACGCCTTCTCCCACTTACAGTACAAGTTTATCCATTTCTTCCAACGTGGACCCTCTCCTTCTTAATGCTATTATTCTTTTATTCAAAATATTTATTAGTCCTCCGTTTCCTCCCTTGGCTCACCATTACCGAGTCCTCTCATACTTGCCCAGTTTCTTTGGATCCTTGCTGGGCATGCACCAGTCATCGGCCTCTGTGGTTGCCTGGTAATGCCGCAAGGCTGACTTGTTGAAAACAGGAAGTCTCTCCACTGACTCCGACGACAAAGCCTGTGATGCAGGACAGAGGGGAACTTATTAGCCTTATCACACAGACGTACTGTATGCTTGAACGACAGTCAGGTCCAGGTTGGTTCTCACTGCCAATGAGAAAACCTCTGTGCTTAATGAAGACAGCAAGCTTTGCTGCTTTTTCTAACATGGGACGTGGTGAGTTATAACTTACAAAATGACACACATCATTGTCTTTATTACAGAACAACCTTACCGGCCACCACTCAGACAATCCAGGACGTGTAGTTGACAGCCCATTTGTATGCTCTACACTCTACACCTACTTGGCTTTCAAGGTTGTTTTTGTGTGGAGCTGTTCTCACCTTCAAGTATATGACAGCTGAGGTGCCGTAGCCCTCCATAGAGTAGAGCTGCAGGTCTCCCTGGAAGTACTTGGCATACAGACGGGATATGGGCAGGCCATAGCCAAATCCAGCCTGAAGGAAGGAGGCAGGACGGAAAAATAACAGGGTTGCAGTATGAATACAGATGAGCCTATCTGGGCCAGTCACTATAATATTACAAGATTATAAAACATACAGTGGATACTGTAGATGGTTTGCTTTGTAGCAGCCCTTCAGCTTCTCAAGTGGTAACAGTTTAATCCAGTGAAATGTTCTTGACTGCATTCCTCTTTGTAATAAGCTAATTTCCAACCATGCTCAGTTGGGCGAGTCTCTGATTAGAACATAGAGAATTGCAATTTAGTTTACCTTTAATCCCAGTTTGAAACAGCACACCAACATTTTTGTGAACCAAATGCATGTTTAACAAGCATGTAGTCTTGTAGCACACAGTGTACGGGCTAAGACTCGTCAACAGTGAAGACCAGAGCAACAAAGCGAGTCTCACCAGTGGTGCATTGCGAGAGTTGTCTATGTGGACCGGGCTGGGAGCTGTGGAGTACATGTAGCTGAACAGACGCTCAATCTTCCTCAGAGGGACTCCACCTCCTCTGTCAGACATCTAAAAATAAAGGAGAGGTATGTTAAAATTTTCAAGGGGCCTCTCATTGTTCTCCCAGCAGGCTCACGTCCAGTGAACTCTTCATCATGGTGCAACAACGCTTGTTTGTTAGTATAATCGTAAAAACCCGCCTCTCCATGATTCCCTGCGCACAATACCGCCTTTAATGCGAAAGTTGTGGTCTGTATTAACTCTCTATGTCATCATCTACCTTGATGGTGAGGTCCTCGCTTCCCAGTGAAACTCGCACTTTGATCGGGGGCAGTGTTGGGCTCATCTCATGGGTCTCTACTGTAGCTCTCATGGCGTTCTGAGAGAGAACATACACAGTGGATTACAGAGTGACAGAGCAGACACGAGGTGAAGGTTAATAAGGTTTTCAGGTTTGTGAGGTCCTGTACCTTGAAGAGCTCAAACAGCATGTGGTAGAGGTGGGATGGCACATAGACAATGTGAAGGGGCTGACCAGGGTTTTTGGCTGCGAAAACATTAATCAGATGAAAAAATACAACTTTTTTAAAAATGTGGAAATATGTTAACACTATGAGAGCTCGCCCTGGCACCCTGACTGAAAAAATGTTGTTAAATTAAGCAAGTAACAAGCCATTAACAACTTCATTCATCATTTTGATTCATATGACCTAGACCTGACCTGCCAATAATATGCTGTACAGTTCATATTCAAAGCCCTGGTACATGTTCTCACTGTAAAGGGATTTAGGTATGTGGATTTGATTAACAACATGTTCATGCGGTGCTATCATACTACCTTAATCTGGAACATGATAAAATAAAGCCTTTTCCTGGTCTATTTCTGTTTAGGAATTCACATTCTCTTTGAGGAATGTCTCATGTGTTGCATTGGCAGGGTCTTGGCGAGCCCAGCTGACAGTAAACAGACCTCACTTAAAGAATTAAATCCTAAGAGTTAATCCGAGAAGGTTCAGTTGAATTTTAGGAGAACAGCAGCAGACATGTCCAGGTGAAACAAAAAAAAAGGTACAGTGTAGGCAAGAGTAACTTAAAAACTGTGGACAAAAATAATATATCTACAAACAGAAACATGCTTGTTTTGTGAGTCTTACAATTGACTTCTGTGATCTCCATATCAGGAGAGGTCAGGTAGTACTGCTCACACAGCATCTTTGAAGTCTCATAGGCATCTGCAAATTGAAAAACATCTGTGGTTACTTTTCACTGTGAGAAACTCAAACCACAAAGACAGACAACTCGTGCTGAAATAGAGAACAACTCCAGGCAACTTTATCTTTGTTTTCTTTCATGAACAAGTTTACATAACATACAGCCATGCACATCATGTTTCCACTTCCCACTCTGTATATTGACTCTAAAAATATCAGATAATAAAAAGGTCAAACAGTCACATCTGCCTGTATAGACAGTGGTGTAAAATAGATAACACATCCAGCGCGTGTGTGTAGCAGACAGCAGTATTGGAGGAAGATTAGTCATTACCTTTTACTACCTCCACAACGTCACAGCTGGGGTCAATGCTGCCAATGTGTTTGGGATGGGCAGGGTTCGCACTGCCTTCAAAGATTAATGCTACAGGGCACAAAATCAACAAGTGTGTGTGAATAAAAAAAAAGAAAACACACAAATGTATACACACAGTTTACTGTATTTGTAAATATCTAATCAAATTGAATCATATTAGAGAAAAATATTACAAAATGTGCTGTCACCTTTATCGGGTCAACACTTCTAAATGCTAGCTCTCACTTTGAGTTTAGTTTAATGGCACAAGCTTCGAGTGTGAGCAACTGTGTTGATTAACTCACAGTCAGTCACTGAGTGCTATACTGACTGTGCTGGTTCATGAGCATGCGTGTGGAGATGCGGCTCATATAGAAGCGGTCCAGGAAGTACTGGACGTTCTGGTTGGTGACGGGGTCCACGCCAAAGGCCTCCTTGAACTCCACCACTCCCTGAGCCATGGTGGGAACTACGTTGTTGTGCCGATTACGGACATTCACCAGAGTCTGTACAAAGCTGAGGGCAAAGACACGTATACCATCTTAATTGCAATGATAAATATCAATATCTTCCCCAGCCATAAATGTGAACACACAGAAAATGCACGCACGCACCAGCCTGCTAAGGCTGTACCGATATCCAATATCTAGTATTCGAATCAGAATTGATCCACGAATCAACAAGATGAATTACTCCAAATTAAAGGAATGGTTGCTGTTTTTGATCTGCATGAATGGTTCCTGTTTGTGGTGGAGCATGTTGGATTTTGCTGAAACAGTTTAGCCGTTTCAGCGACAATGTGATTAACCTTGTATCTCTGAGTCTGACAGTGGTTTCCAGGTGCTGTGCAACATGAGCGATGTGACCACAGCTGTTTACACAACAGAGATTAGGTTTTCAGGCGTCGGAATTACTGAGTCTGATCACACCAGACAGAGACACTCTGAAGGGCTACACTAGCAATATGCTGGAAAGTATATGCAAATGACTTACCTTGTCAGGACATCTTTATCATCTGGATCTTTTTCTAAAAAATCTACAAGCTCCCACAAACTCTGTGAATACCTGGCAGACACAAAAAGATAGATTTGAAGAGAAAACATAGAAACACACTCAACTTAAGTTAATTCACTGTATATCATGTTGACAAAGTAGAGCTAATATAATGGAAAAATCTTGTGATTACATTAATGTGAAACTGTGTTTAGGACATTTAAACTAATGTGTTTAACAACTGCGTAACAAGGCATTCAGCATCTCCCTAGGATTAGCATTAACACCGTCCTCTCTTTAGATAATAGCTGCTTGTTTAATCCAGACTTCATCTGTAGGCTGGTGGATGAAGAAGGCTCGAGCGCTGAGCTCACTGAGTCACACTCCCTTGGGCGCTGTCTCACTCAAAACTGGGTGAAAGGTGAACAGCAGGGTGGCCATAACGCTTTCTACGTGCTCAGTTTGTCCCTCAACTGACCTTCAGCTGTAGAATTTTGGATTAAGTCCCGCCATGCAAACAGATGTACATCTTGAAATAGAATATTTTGCAGCTTGTAGTTGCACAAGCTTGCCAAGAAAGATCAAGGCGTTGCCTCACTACCCTGGTCAACAACATTAACAAGTGATAGACCAACACCTTTGCTGGAAATCCAGCGAGATCTGCAGTAATGGGAAGAGGAAGACACAGTCCAGGAGGTGCATGGCCAAATATAGACACCACTGCTCTTATGAAGAAGAGTGGGGGTGGGGTACTGACCTTGTTGTTAACATTTCTTTGAGGGGACCTATATGCCAAACATAATCAACACGCTAGGTTAAAGTCTACAGTAGAATACTACGAGGCTAACAGGAAGTAGCAGCTTTGGTGGAGAAACAAACTCTAAGTAGTAAGATTACCTACAACTAGCCGGTATCTTTAGCACTTATTCGGTAGAAAATGGAGGCAAAAGACAGGAGAATGTGGTTGATTTCAATATCCAACATGTGCTACTGTGAAACCCTGTCACATGCATCCAGGGACGGTTTCATTGTGTCTCATTAGGACAAGAAAAAACGATGACAGCTATTCTACTAGCAGCTGAAAACCTAAAACAGACGTAATTTCTCTAACACATACACACCTGCACCAACAGTATTTACAACATGCACAGAACGTAGCTTCAGATGGGGATGTGACACAGATTCACCCATGCCGATATAACTCTACCTGTCTGAGAGTTGTGACCACAAACACAAACAGCTGACCCCGGCGTAAAGCAGCACGCATTTCCTCACAGTCATAAAACCTGGGCTGCATGTTCACGTGCAGCATGAAATTGGAGTGCGTGCATAATCTATCACTAACGTACCGGCGTGGCAACACAAAGTGAGGCTGGCCTCTATAATTCAGACAAAGACATAAAGCACATTCCCAGATCAATGGTATGTAGCCAGCATGTGCACAGAGAACAGCTGGGTGAGGGAGGAGGGGAGCTAAACGGAACAGGCTGTGACAAAACCTCACACGGGCTTTCACAACATCAGTAGCAACGTTTTCATCAGATCGCAGCTGTAGGCCTATAATTAACCAAAGCTAAAGGTGGGAAATTGTGTACAGATCTATGGATGTATTTCACCTTTGAAGCTAAACACCAGAAAGCTGGAACACAAGGGACGTTTGCTTTGATAAAGACCCTAAATGACCCAGACACGACCTGTGTGCAACCTCGTTTAACACGGTGAACCTGAAATAAATGACACTCTACAGTTTCTATACACCCTAGTGCTGCTTTCCTTTCGCTTCCTTTCACACGGTTTGATTTCAGATTGAATCATTCCCACAGTGTGTACCCCCTGACAGAGAAATGTAGCGTATCCTTGAGATCCTACCAGCTGGTGAGGAGCTTTAGGGATGGGGTGCCGAGGAGTTTGTCAGGGAGGAAATCAATTTCCTTCATGATGTTGGCCAGTCTGACAGGAAGCTCCTGCCGCAGGAACACAAAAGAGGTCTTCTCACACGCATTGGCCGAGCCTGCAGTCACATGAGGGACAGAGATAGGGGGGAAAAATGAATGAGCAAGCATCCAACTTTGACCCCATTCTGCCAAAAGAGAACAAAACTAAACAGAAACTTTTCCTAAAGAGCAACATTCAGAGGAAATCTGTCCATTGATATTTGTGGACATGGTCTTTTCCTTGGACCTTGTTTTTTGCTGAGGTTAGCAGAAACATGAGAGCTTGCGAAGGTCAGTGCAGAGATCAACCACATCAGCTATCAGTCTGCACGTGTATTATTATTATTATTATTACTGCACTTATCTGCCAATGACCTGTACAGCGTAAAGTCAGCTGACACCAACACACACACCACAACCCACCAACACAACACACACACACAACACAGAGAGAGAGAGAGAGAGAGAGAATAACTGCCATGCGAGTGTTTGGAGAGTAACGTGCAAAGTCCGACAAAACCAATCACTACTAAACACTTACCGAAGTCAATGAATTGCTTCATAGACAAGGGAGAGGGAGAAAACTTAGCAAACCTCTCCACCAGTTTCGGTATCCCAGCAACCGAGCCATTTTTCAGCAAAAACTGAGCGAACTTCATTTTTTTCCTCTCCTCTACGGGCTGACTGTCAGTGAATCAGGGACAGGCTGTCCTTTCTTTCCTTTCTTTCCTCAGCACGCTCCAGTTTGGCGGCTGTTAAGCTAGCGGTGCTAAAGCTCGGCGTCGCACAAGAAACCTGGCGTCAAATGGGTATCTCTAAGGACGCTGCATGCGAGTTCCCCGTTGTTTTTCCTCTCGTTGTTTTTCCATCTGGTCGAGTTGTTGAATGCCCTTCAGATGCAACTTCCAACACCGAGCGATGTGTATTGTTGTTGGGCGGGGGAGCGGACGGATTGACGTTAACATCAACCAATGAGAGCC